ACCAGAATATGTGCCAGGGTGAAAGTGAGGCTTATATGCCCATCACTACCTGCTGTATTGTCTATCTTTACAAAAAGAACCCAGGTGACAAATTTCTCCTACTTATCATATTTAGAAAGCTGTTTGAAATCAGTCAGATTTACTGTTAAGGTGTTGAAGGGAAGACCATGTTTATGAAGTGCACTAAATTCTTATTAAAAAAAAAAAATCTAAGATTTACTTCACACCTACAGTCCTTGAGAGAGCAAATCACACATACTCCAGGCTGAACTTCCCCTTTGCTGGGACTGTAAAGTCTTATTTGAGACCCTGTTGCTTCTTCTCTTGTGTTAAATTCTTGCAAAGAGTTGTGCAGGGTTCGGTGGAGGAAGGAAATCAGGGGAGAAAAAGGTCACTTTATCCTCTTGGCTACATTTATTTTTCAAAAGCCTCCTGATGTATCTTCTTCACTCTGAATATTTTTTGTCTGCCTCGGGCTGACATTTCCCCCATGCACAGAGAGATGGGCAGAGATATTTATGGCAGAAAAGATAAAGCTTTTCTCAATCCACACATGCACATCTCATGCCTTTCCTGCAGCTCCTGGGTGTGAAGCTGCACCCTTGGAGTAAAAGGCGGGACTTAAAATCAGTAGATGGGAAAACATGGGTGCAGGCTAACCAACCTCCTTGTTAATTCGGGGTGTCCTTGGCTGTGGCTCAGTGCTGGCCAGAAGGGCTGAGCACAGCCTGGCTGGAACCACTGTGGCAGCCCAACACGGCCTGGCTGCCTCCCATCGTGACATGGTGTGTGGCTCAGCCAGAGCCCCTAACCTCATTGTTATCAGCTCCGTTTACTGGACCTTTTGGATGCTAAGACGTGATTAAACACCTCTTAGAAATTTTCCTTGGCACGGTTAATTCTTTTGTGACCCCAGAAAACCAGATGGTAAGGCTAATCGAGGGCTAAACCCTGTCCTTGCCACTTGGTGGTGTGGCCCAGCAAACAGGAGTGCAGTGTATAGATGCATTTAAGATATCTTTAAACACAGCTAATTAGGAATAGCTTTTTGAAAAATACTGTATGCAAAGAATTAAAAAAAAATAAATTAAACCCAAACAAAAAATTATTGCTGCAGTAGTGCAATATTCTGTTGGAGACTACAAATTATGGTAGTTCTCAATTAGTTTCCTGCTAATTAGCCCAACTAAGCGTGAGCATAGTGATTTGCAAGGTCTCCTTTCAGAGCATGAATGCTGGAAAACTGAAGGGTATTTCCCGTGGCATGTCTGTTTGTGTCTTCCCCAGCAGCTGTCAGGTACCTGTTGGGTGCCATATGCTTCCTTATGTACAGGGCTGAAGTATGTTTACATTCACATATTGCAGCTCCCAATGTCACACAAAAAAATAATCCTTGAGCCAGGACAACAATCAGACTAGCACCTACTCAGATATCCTCCTTCCTACAGCAGTTTAGTGAGGGAAAAGATACGAAGCACAGACAGTCAACTTCCTGTTGGCGTCATCTCTTGCTGCTGGCAGCTTCTGTGCATTGGGACTTCCTGAGCAGGGTCACAGCTTCGTGGTTAATAACCCCTGCAGAGTTTAATTTTTTTTTTAATGTGGTTTAGTAGTTGGTTTTGATCTCATTTGTTCTTTTGACAGCTAGAATACCCCATGACTATGCATTTCAGTCTGCTGTGTGAAATTTTTGTTTTAATTATATTACCTCAGATGTTTGTATCCAAAATTCCCTTTTTATAGGGGAGTTGTAGAAGCAATTAATATTTCTTCCCTTATTTGTGTCATTTATTATATTGTGGGATACTAACACATCGGCCCTTAATGATCTCTTTTCCAGAAGATGGAGGCCCAGTCCACAGTCGCCCTTCACATGGAAATAATTTCTTTCATTTCATCATTCCTGAGTTTTTTTTATTTCTGTTTTGTCCTTTTAAAGTGATAAGGATTGGATGTCCTTTGAAAGTGGTAAGGATAATGATGTTTTCTCTTCATTTTCTTGGTCATACTTCCAAATCCTCTGTTCGTCTCTTTATTTAAACTATTATGACTTTGAGTTGAACAATCCAAAATAACACAATGCACTTGTTCATGACTATTACTAGCTAATTTAAAATCTGTTATTCAATATGCACCATTTGGGGCATCTTTCACTGAGCATCAGGGACTCAGCTGCTACTTGTGTCTGCTTTTGCTTTTGCTACTCTGAATTACTGTTCACCTCCCAACTTAATAAGCCTAGTTTCATTCCTTCAAATCATGGAACATGTTGGTGTGAGTGGTCATCTTTATTTAACTCAGACATTTTTGCTTCAGTTTAATTAAAGAAATGCAAAAACTTGTAGCCAGCTATCCAAAGTAACCACACCTTAGTAGCTGGGCAAGGCATTATTTACTGTGTGTAATTGCTTTGTATTCACAAATTGTACAAGACGTGTTAGCAGGGCATGCTGGAAAGCAATTTTAATTGATTGATTTCAACGTGTTCTATTCAAGATTCTGTCTAGTGAAGTTTACTTGTGTATATCCCTTAGTGACATTTCTACAGCTGTGGAATAGTTAACTGTGTTGACCTTTCAATTCCTGTGAACATTAAAATGAGAGTTGTCTCTCCTAGATGTGAACTGAACTGTCCTTCGCCTCCCAGCCGCCTGTGAATATTCCTGTTGGTGGCACTGATGTCTGTGCTCTTTTTTCTTGCAGCAGTGTTGGAGAGGGCTCTTGGGTTTGTGCTGCAGCCGGCACAGCCAGGCAGGAAGCGCTTGCACCTGTGGAGGAGCTGGTGCCCACCCCCATTCCCCTCCATCCCTTTCCCACCCCTCACACAGCTGGCCAGCACAGATGGAGCCCTCAGCAATCAGGGCTAGTAGCCAATATAAGTGAGGCAGAGAAAAAGGAGGCCCTTTTCAGGGGCTATGGATTTCAACTCTCTGGATTTTGACCTGAGGGTACTCAACAAAGGTATTTTTTTTCCTCTGTGCTAGTGGTACTTGTCTATTTATCATTGTTTTATTTGCAAGCAGGGAGTTTTGAGGTCTTACTTCCTATTACTTCTGCAGTGTTTTCCTGTATTGTTCCTTCAAGTTTTGCTGGGTGAAATCAAGTGGGATATGTCTGGCTCCTTGGAAATCCTTTGAGTTGTACCTCCTTATGTTGCATAACTCTAAGGAAACTTAATGGAAAGCTGGCTAGTGTTAGATTTCCTATACCTGCTGCTTTGATATGCCCCAGTTAAGAGGTTTCTTTAGTTCTTAGTGGAAAGACCTGGCCGTTAGCATTCAGCCCTTGGTGTTTTGGGTTCCTTTTTCCTTGCCAACGTCTCTTGTGTAGACTTTTGCAGAGGGGTATGGAGACAGGAGCAGCCTTTTAAACATTTGACTGGATTATATGGCAGTGAATATTCCCCTCCCTACCTGGAATGTTAGGTCTAGTCTGTATGCCTGCTATACAGTAGGAGGATCTGAGGAGAAGCTTTTGGTGTGATGTGATTAACATGAGGAGTAGAAGCCTTGGTGTGCTGTTTAAATGGGTTTGCATTTAAGAATAATGAAACAGCTTTTTATTTTAAAGTATCAGTGTTATATGAAATCCCTGCTAATGAAAGCCCTATTATTTTCCTGTAGTGGGAATCATTTGGCCCTTCCATTGCAAGTGGGTTGGTGTGTTGTCTCTTGACCTCATTCACACAGAGCAGGAAGGGGAAATGCCTCAGCAATGAAAAATGATGCAAGAGTAGTTTGATTGTTTTTGTTGATGCCATATTGTGTTCATCTACTTTTATTTTAAATATGAAAGTGTTATTTCTTTGAGGAATCATAGAAAATGTGGTAATAGGGAGCTAAGACTTTGTGGTTCTACTCAGCGTGTTTTCTTGTCTCAGTTGAGTGCTGAATCTGAGGTGTTTGTGGGTTTTTGGGAAGCCCCAGGTCTCCTGTAAAAAGAAAGGAGTATTTCAGTTCTGAGCTTGGCTTCATGGCTTGTGTTTGCTATAGGAAAGTGCTGTAGCCAAATTTTAAGTGAAGAGCAGTATGTTTTATTTTTCAGACAAAAATTTACCAACAAGTTCTGAATATGTGCTTTCCCTTTCCATGGGGCTAAGCTGGGGATATGTTTCACCATTTGATGAAATAGTCACTGTTTTTAAGGCTTCAGAGCTGTACACTTCCTTGTCAACCTCTTCTTCCACCATTGCCTAACAATGCACAAACATGGATGTGTTTTTGCTCTCTCTGGATTGAGTCCTCTGAATGAGGACTCAATCCAGAAATCAGACTTGCTATATGATAGAAATGGTGTCAGTGTGGTGAAGATCTCCAAGTGGCAAATACACAGTGTGTTTCGTAGGGATGGTCAGACATAAAAAAATGCATGCTGGTGTGTCTAATAAAGATTTTCTTCTTGTTTTAAATGAAGGTGATCTTTTGTGTTAGAGGCAGGATACCTAAAATCCAAAGTTAAGAATTAACACCCTTTTTTTAACTTCCAATCACTACAGTATTGTCAGTCTCAGGAGAAAAGTACTTGCCACTGAACTTTGGCTGGGAGTGTGAGAAGAGCATTGCTAATACACAACAAGCATTTAGTAGGTCTAGTTCTTGCTAACTTCTTGTGTTTGCAAAGAATGATGAATGTTATTTTTCACTACAGCAACTTTCTGGCACATAAACTTTCCTATCTAACCAAAGGCTGCAAGTGTAATTTGATTATAGGTTTTCCTTGGGAAGGAATAGGCTGTTAAAAACAGGAGCTGGCACCATTAACCCGAGGTGTCCCACTAGCAGTGGAGAGCTGTCACCCTGATGTGACCAGGTTCATTGCAGCAGAGGGACTCACTGCAGTGGAGAGCCTTCTTCCCGTGGCCTGGGTCACCGCTGTGGTAGGGCAGGTTTGCTCCTCAGGAACCAGACTGTGGCTGGCCAGGCCATTACCAGGAACCCACTGCAGCTGGGAATAAATTGTCAAAAGAAGCAATGTTCAAGAAAACCATTCCACGCTCTTGCTGGGTTTTTTGCAATACTTTAATACAGCATTAAAATGCTAGAATACTAGAGGAAAGCTGTATACTATCCAGCAAATAAGGCACATGTCGGAATGCCATTTTATGGACAATCCACAACAGAGGTTTTACAGTCTCAGTAGCAACACAGACACCCGATCAGCAGGGTGTCATCTTGATTGCTGAAACAGAACTGGTACCTCTGAGGCCTTTGTCCATAGGTTTTGTTTGTTTTAGCTGTACAAGTTTATTAACAGTTACAGAAAAAGAAATTACACAATTTGCCAACTGAATCTGACAAGGTCAGTAAGTACAGTTAAACAAATGTAATAATCGTTAGGCTAATTTTTTTTAAAGCTGAAGAAATTCATACAATAGTGTTAGTTTTAGCACTATTACACAATGCAGTGAGTGCTGTACTAAATAACCTTTTAAAGGAAACAAGAATCCAGTATAGGGCTGGGCAGACCTCCCATTTTAGCATGGTAAAATATCAAACTAAAAACTCAATCCTTCATAATATAATCAAACTACATGAAATGTAAAGTGTAAAATGCTTTGAATACGTGCACATGCATATTCTATATTGCTATGAGTTCTAATTAAAATAAACGTAAACCCCTACAATAATCTACTTCAATCCTTTTCTCTTACATCCTTTGATTGATATTATTGCTGTAGATGATACTGCATAGCTGAGCTCACAGTCTGCAAAGAGTTGTGAAAGTCAAGTTAAACAGTGTCCCAACCAACTTTCTTCCCCTCTAGTTATGGGGAAGGAAAGAGCCACCATTTGAAACCCACCACTTGTGCTTCGGAGTTTCTGGAAGCTGAGTCTCCACGGTGCTCCCAACACCTTTGTGTCTCTCACAAGGCCATAAAGTGACAGTATACTGTTATTTGCTCCTCACTTGCTACATGTCTAGTGATAGCTTTTCTAGCACTCGTTCCCCAAATACACATAAATAAACCGTATAAGCATTTTCATATAAGTCTAAGCACTTGAATAATACACTGGTTACTTAATACTGATATTTTCATCCAAGGATAACAAAAACAATATGGCTTAAAGAATTGCAAGGTTTTTTGTCAGAATTATGTACCAACTTTCATATAATATTTTATGTAGACAATATTTCCTTCTTAATGTAGTTCTGTTGCATACTTTATACAGACAAAAGCATTGTAAAAAAAAAAGTAAATTATTTCCATAAATATTTTCTTGAGGATACATCCTTAGTTCTGCAAAATACTGCAAAATACTTAAGAAAACTCTTACCTCTGTTAGTATCCTAGTTGAGAGGAAGGCCCTTCTGAAAGCTTCCCAATTGTAAAAACTTTGCCCAAAAAACAAACAATACTTTTTTAAAAAGGCCCTCAAATATATACAAAAAAGTTACTGCAAAGAGTTTCCAGATAACAATTCAGTATTATAAGAAATATTTGTAACCATTCAAAAATTTTAACATCTAAAAAGGTTTCCAAAATACACACATAGTATTAAAAAAAAAATTGAAAGAAACTCTATGTCAAGTATAACTCAAGATAAATACACATCTGCAAGTAAAACTGTAAAATACTTCATACAGGGGTAAACATTTATATCAATCATCTATAGCTAGTAACTGCACACGATTGTCCCTTTGAAATTCATCCTAGAAACACAATCCATCATCCCTATATCTAAGATCTCAAACAGCCCTCTGAGCACTTGAGCGATACAGCAAACTCAATGGACAGCACTGGTTTTGCAGATAAGAAAGAGATATGTGTGGAAGCCCAGTTGGGAGTGGAGTGATATCTGAAAGAATGATTTTTCTATGGGGATAGTTCAATCACATTTTAAAATATGTTGGCAAAGGCAAGTGGAAAATACATGTTTATCTGCTTAACTTGAAAAACATGTGTTGATGATTTATTGCTTACTGTTCAGTGGACAACGCTTAGGATCCAGAATAGGACAAAAAAAAAAATCTTCTGTGTGACTGCAGGACAAAGATGACTAGACTATGGAGTCTGACATATCCAAAAGCTCTAAACTTTTAATGTTTTAAGTACGTTTTGGGTTTTTTTTTAAAAAAATGCTAGAGTGTCACAGGTATAAAATCCATGTATAATCTAAATTTCATGTTATATAAAAAGGTAAAATGTAGATAATACTTCTAGGTATAAGGCTTCTCTCAGACATATGTAACTTCACATTTTTAGTTTAAAAACTAAGTCCCATATAATGGGGAACTTCAAAATACACCTATTTTCAGAAATAATATATACTCTTGTGTATTTATCTGACATTAAATAGCAACTTTGAGACAAAAATGCCTCAAACTTTGCTTGTGTGGTTTCATTTTACATCTGTGGTAGCAGCAGTAGGAACTGGCTAAAATGGGGCCATCCTTTAAACTACTAGGATATTTCTTCATCACCTTTAAATGAACTATTTGTAATAACTTCATTGTAGCCTCATTAGGTTAAAGCAGCTAAAAACCTATGACACACATTTTAAATTACTCAAACATTTTTCCAGAGGCATGCCAATGCCAAATTCGATATGAAATGTTATGACCAACTCGTGAAACAAATTGTGGGGTGTTTATTTTTTGATTGTTTTTTGTTGTTGGTTTTAAAGAAATAAATGGAAGTTTAAAAAAATCTCAAATAAGGTGAAAATTAAAAAAAAAAAAAAGAATAGGACAGGCTATATTGGTGGGCTGTCAACAGTAAACATCTGAGGTTGAAAATCCAGTTTGCCAAATACCTGCACAAAGCCAAACTGCTCTGAGGTACAGCCCTAAAGAATACTCAGTTTAGGGAGGCCTGTATTGATTTAAAACTCTTTTTATTGATGCTTGCTTCACTCCTGCCAATACTGTCTACTAATGCCTTCAACTGATTGCTAGCTGATGCTCTCAATGCGGAGCTAGTTAGAGAACATCAGAAAGCAGTCACTAAATTTTAAAAGATAAATCAATTCCTCAGTTTTCCAGTCAAAAATCTGCACCTTTAGATTTTTTTTCTGGTTTGGAGAGAGCTGGTTACATCTATAGGTGAATTACCTTTGGGTGGGGAGGGAGGGAGTAGAAGTAATCTATATTTTGTAATCAATCCTTTGTCCTTTCTTTCCTTTGAAATAAGGATTCAGAAATGTCCCTTCTGTGCCACTAACTAAAAGCCAATGGTCATAAGCTGTTATCCACAATTATGTGGATGTGTTTTTCCAGCAACTCCCACTGCACAGACTCGAGTGTGGAGCGAATGCTCGGGCCCGAAGCTCCAATCCGGCAGCCAGGCCATGCGGGAAGGATGGAGGGATCCTCCCCCGGCCAAGCTCGGTGCTGCTGCCCTGCCCGGGCCGGCTTTAGGGAGGGGTTCAGCCTGTGCAGGGACCAGGTGCCCGCTGCCACCCGCACCGCCGGATCTGTGCCTCCGCCTTGGGCAGCACAAACCACGGCAGTGTCCCCCCTTGCTTTTCCACACCTTGTGCTCTTCATCTGCTTTCCCCCAGCGCCAGGGCAGGGGGAAATCTGCTCTCCTCTTTGTTACAGGTGTGCTAAGTATCACTTAAATACTTTATATGTCTTCTGCCTAGGAACACATGAGTAATATAAATACTGAACTCTCAGAAGTGTGCTCTCAAGAATTATTATGCTACACCTATAGACATCGTGTTAAAGTAGATCACGTGTATTTTTAGTACAATCTACAAATCCATAAGCTAAAGGCATTGCCTTGCAGTGTTGAATCTGGATAAACAATTCTTAATAGGGCACTGTCATGAAAATACCAATGCTTATAATGGCATCTTTTAGTCAGCTTTTTGTCAGAACCTGCTGGTGTGTGATATAGTGATACAGCTATATCAAGAGTTGTGCTATTTTACTGGTTTTAGTGGTTATCATAACAGGGAGATTATTTCCGTGCTGAACAAAATGTTTGATAGCAACACCTTAGTTTCAGGAAGAAAATAAAATAATGTTTTCCCTTATCTTCATCTAAGGGGTTTTTCTACATGTTCTTTAGCTAGATGTGAACCATCTAGGTCTTTTTTTTTTTTTTCTTTGTTCCTGTACTATTAAGTGCTCAAGAGGAAAAAATAGATCTGGTTTAAAAAGCTGCTCTTTCAAAATTACTCATGCTTGAAACAAACTATTGAGATTAATCCTAGAGGTCAAGCTTAGAAAATCCACCCCTAGATTTGCTTGTGTATTTTCTTATTTGTATAGACAGATTAGTATCTTTGTTGAGAGCATTTGTCTCTAAGTTAATTTGTGAATCTGTGCAAAAGAATGTGTTTGCATTTCAAAATGCTAAAACTGCATATCTTCACTAAGGCAACTGAACTGTTTATTAGCGTTACTTTCAATAACATTATTTTCAGCTATTTTAGTTGGAGTTGCTAACTGGGCGAAAGTAGTTTCCAAGTGATTAATTTAGTTAATTCTATTTTAGCATTACATAGCACTTTTCATCCAGTGATGCCAAAACACTTAAGAGATATTAAGTAAACCTCACAACTCTCTTGTGAGGTAGGTATGCTAAAGTATTATTACCCCCTTTTTGCAGCTGGGGAAACTGAGGTCCAGAAGGATCTTGTGACTTGCCCAGAATCAGGGAGCTATGGGAGAGCTGTGGTCAGAAGCCAGGAGTCAGGATGCTTATCCATTGCTGTGAGCAACAGGCTGGGGCACTCAGGCTGCCCATAAATAATGGCATTTGCAAGAGATGTACCTGCCACTCCCACCAAACAAGCAGATGCAATTTTGCCCTGCTTATAGCAAAGCAGGTGAATGCTCGTGATAAGTTTTCCACTTTCTTTATAAGAGCTTGTCTTGACATACTGGTAACACCCTGCTATCACTTGGCATAAACCCCCCACTGTCTTTGCATTACAGAACTAGTCCTCAGAACACATTTAGTTCACATCAAGTTATTTAGGATTTAAAGTTTTCTCTAAGTATCATTCACACAAATCAATCTCCCTAAAGGAAACTTCATAAAAACGTAAATTGCTGATGTAAACCCCCCTCCCCCCACCTCAAACATTCATCTAATTTTTTTAGTGAATGCTACAAATTAATTGCTTGTTGTGTCCTGTTGCCAATGTACTCTCACGTAGCCATACAAACAGGATACTATCTCGAGGTACTTTCAGTTTATATTTGCCAATCCCTGACGAGATGTTCTTTGCAGCAGGCTGTCCCTGTGCAAAGTTCTACCTGAAATGGGACAATGAAATATAATTCCTAAATTTCTACCCAGGTATATGGGTCTTCTTGAGGAAGACATAAAGAAAGAGGGTTATATATAGAGTGTTCTCCATGCCTTAAAACACCCCTATGGCTAACATGTTTCATAGTATAACAAATTTCTATAGTAGAAAACAGGACATAAAAATATTTCCAGAAAGTGGCTTTTAAACTACTATAAATAGTAAGTTTGGCTAATCTTTCAGTTAAGGGTATTGGGGTCAGTTTAAGTATTCTTATCCCCTTATTCATAGTAAATTTAGTGTGCTTGTGGCCTAATGCACATAGAAGGGACCATGTCAATGGGTTTATATGACAAGAGAAGGATCTGGTAGTTGCATAAGCAAGACAATTTTGTCTCCTCCAAACACCTCTTGGAATCTTATGGCATTCCCTTCCTACCCAACCCACACCCCTCAAACAATTTTTCACTTTTTTCCCATGTCCTGCAAAAATTATTTTGCCTAAGCCCTGCCCAAGAGATGGTAACAAGTAGAAAAAAGTCCAAGAAATCAGCAGCACAAAACTCTTAAGACTTTCTAAAAACTGGGAAAGCAGTAATTCCCCTTTTATGCGGTGGCTTGTTTCATCTTCCTTTGTCTTGTCATATAATAAGAATAGTGATTGTGTTGTGGGTGAGTGCTTACAATTAGTGGCCCCACAGTTACTGAATCTCTGCAAAAGCCATACATGTAACAAATATTCCTTTTGAATATTATTCCTTGCCTTTTGAAAAGTACTTCATTTCACCTGGCTGTGATATAGGGTCTGTGTAAACAATCAGCAGAACCTGTAACTGTAGTTCTGTAGTGAACGTCATCAGTAACACCTTATATGTGTACATATATCAATTTACATATATATGTATACAAATCATAGTCCTGTAAATACCTATTGCATGCATGCACATGCACAGGAGAAATGTTACATTCTATTAATGGTAAGGCATATTATTAGATAGGCAATATTGGCAATTCTTTTAGCTTTTATCTTGATCTGTTGTGCTGCTGTTGATCGCATGCTGCCAGAGAATCTCTAAGGATGATGGGGATGGGAAGAGGCCACTTTGAAGGTTTATTGCACACGGCGGCAGTAGTAGCCCAAAACTTTGCACTTCTCACACAGATGCTGAGGATGTTCTTTGCTCTGGTCTGACACATCCAGGCCATCCGGCTTTTCCAGGGGTCTCTGCAGTGGTGGGAAGGAAATCAGATTAGATCCAAGGTTTTGTCCTTGTTACTCTTTATTAAGCATGTGAAGTCTACTTTTATGCCCTAAGTGAGCTTTCTACTGGTAATTTAAAAAGTACTATGTTTCTTTCCTGAAAGTATGGAGTGATTTTTTGCAGCCCTTCAGCTCTACATTGGTTCAGAGCGACCTCCCAATTAATGTCAGTCTTCATAAAGGTGGTGTTAACTTTGTTGCAGACAAATTACAAAAATACTGAATTGAGAACTTCATTTATAAAAAGCAGTAACAAAAGAGTTCATTTGCTTTGCTCCAGTAGCTTAGATATCCCAAGGGCATTAACACCTAAATCATGGGAATCCCATTACCCAGCAATGCAGAGCAGGGATTATCAATGTTAGGACTAGCTGCTACATGAAGAAAACTGTCATAATTATGCACAGATACTACAAAGCTAAATGGTGCTTTCCCAATAAATAGTCCCATGTTTTTGAGGCTGAAAGTTTTGAAGCAGAGCAGCTGCAAAGCTTTTAATAAAATTTAAAAAAATTCCAAGCTCATAGAAAGCCAAAACAAAATCCAACATCGTGACACAATCCTTTGCACTGAATCTGAGTAATAAATTATGTATTTTTAATAATATTCATGAAATCACAGTGTTTGGGAAATTAAGCTGATTCATTGTTATTAGGTGTTTGTGCTTTCACTTTCCATGGCATGTAAAAGGCCTCATAGTTATGTTAAATATTGTGACTAAGTTAAAGGTTTGGGAAGTCTAATAGGTAGGGAAGTGATAGAGACGCGAGGTAGAAGTTAATAAAGTGCACCATCTGCTTGGAAAACACTCCCAAGTTCCCTAACCCATAACTGATCTGTTTTCATGAAATGAATCTGAAAGGCTGTTTCATTGCACAGTGCCATGCAGGCAGCAGTTCTTCCATGGGACTATGGTAGAACAGCATGTGGTGTGAAATCTGAAAACTAGCCATAAGCTTCTCACTGTTTTTACAGGGATATTAGACCCTTGCTTATATCTTCAAAATGTGATTCTTGGAGCAGTGGGGGGGGGGGGGGGGAAAAAAAAAAGGTAAATAAAAATTACACCATCTTGGCCATTTATGTCTTAAAACCTTTCTTAAAGACTTTCTTTTATCTGTAAGGTCTTAAAGTACATCTGATCATCTAAGATTTCATTTATAAGCTCTTTGTCAAGCCACTTACCTGAAACTCTGTGGACAGGAACAGAGATATTTAAAGTTGTTTTTTTGGCTATGTAGTACTGCAAGAACTGCTCATAAATCAGGGAGTAGAAGGGTTTCTCTCTCTGAATAGCTAAAATGACACAAAACATATACTATCATCTTGAACAAGGGATGTCTGTGAATTCTTGCTTGATTGTACTGGATTTTAAGTGCAACACTCTTATTATGTTGCACAGCTAGTCAAAACAATATATAGGAGTGACTCAGTAGTGATTGTCAATGGTTTGTTTCTGATTCAGTGTTTTGAACCACGATATTGTCCTGCACCACGTAGGTCTTTGAGTCTAACTTCATCCATGCAAAGTGGATTTCTTGTGTCAGATGAGGAAGGTAGTAGACTCTTCATCTCCAAATGCCCTGCAACCCTACTGAGCTTTAAATGTTTGATGTCACTGTGTTGAGATTTGAGATCAGAACCAGCAATTATGTTTCTAGGCTTGCAGTCCAAGCACTGGTCCAGATACTGCTTATTCCACAAGAAAGGCAAGTTGAATAAGTGTGTTTGGTCAGAAACCTGCCTTTCTACCTCATCTACCACTTATTCCACCAACATCTGCCCACAAATACTCTTCAAGAATTTGCATTACATAAATATGAAGTGCAGGTTCTGGAGTCCCAGGGGTTAATTTACACTCTTCAACAGCGAAAGAGTTTTGAAATGCTACACTTGAAACAGGCTATTTGACTCAGCTCTGATTGCTTCTACATGCTAGCTGTGCTCTGATTAAAGAGAAAAATACAGCAGTTATCATGTTTATTGGTATAAGCCAGATTTTTTTTTAATATGCGAGGCCTTGGGAATCATTTTTCCTGGAAATAGTGCAAAGGACATTGGGAATGCCTTGAAGCGCCAAGAGTTTTTGGATGGTTTTCAGAAACAATAGCTCTCCGTAGTTTGCTTTCCCCCTGCGTTGATTGAGCTCAGCTTTTTGGCCTGCAAAGCATTTTGATTTCAGAACTGTTATTGTTACCAGTATGTTAGGACACAGGCTGGGGAGAGAGGGGTTACAAATGCAGGAAAGCAGGTTGCCAAGGGCCAGCTGGAAGGCATGAAGCCGTGCAGAGCCCAGACTGCATTTCTGGTGAGGTGGTGGAGGGCTGAGGCTTTGAAATTGGTAGTCTACTGATGTGGTTTGTGTCTCAAAACCTTTTCAACCTAACTTTTGCATAAAATGAAATCCTAGCTTATCTCCATTTGCCGTTTTCTCTTCATGGTATCTTGTAAAGGCAAAAAAGAACCCCTTAATCACCCTGAGTAGCAAGTGTTCTTGTCCTGCTGCTGTCTGTTACTAATTGAGGAGAACCTAAAAGTAATAACCTTATACTCTTGGAACCATTCCTACAACATGCTAAAAGTGTAGAATGTTAGTCACAGAGCTGTGTGTCCATCAGGGCTGGGCAATTCACCCCAGCCCTGGTGTGGCAGGAGCAGAGGGGAAGGAGAGGACACTGACACAAGAGTGTGCAGCAGGGCCTGGCTGTTGCACACTGTGTCAGCTCTGGGGACTGCCTGAATTCTGCAGGAGACACCAGTAACTGAGGAGGCTGCAAGAGCTCTGTATTGCTGCTGAGGACTCAGCCATGCACTTGGACAGGGTGTGGAGAAGGGGACAGGCTATTTGGCTGAAAAGTTACCTCCATTCCTTAGAAAAGAGTGAAATGGGGATTGTAGAACAACAGTAAATACTGCTATGTTCCTCAGAGGAAAGGTATCCTATTTTCCATTAAATGGAGAGTTTAACTGTAAAAGTTACATTTTGTTGTGTTAGGGGGTTTTTTGGTATTTTTTTTTTTTTTAATGCAAGCATCCACATAATAATATAACTTCCATATAAGAAGTTATATTCTTCCAGACTTCATTTTAGTGCATCTTTGTTTAATTTTCTCCTGGTAGTTGTGGGGTGGAAATAATCTTGTGCAGCTCCACCAGCAAAGCATTTGGTGGTGGTGAATAAAGATATTGACGCAGGGGAATGAAGCTGACAGAAATTCAAATTTATATATCAATTCCTGACCTGCGAATTAACTTTTGACTATGAGTTATTGCTGTCCCAGTCTAGATGTACTGCATGACCGCTGCATTCCTCAACAGTCAGCTGAAACCTCAAAGCTCTCAAACAAAAACTCACCCTTTATGAAGTGTTAGGTGTTAAAGAAAGCATCACTAGGACATCTTGAGGGAAACTGCTTCCACTAAGGTGTAAATGGAATAATGTGCCTGCTTCTGTTTGTATTTTCTGCTGTGGAATGGAGCAATTTAATTGCACCACTGATGGATAGAGAATGACATCAGAATTCAAATGAGAGAAAACGTTTTAAGATTATTTTCTGGACTCATTTACATCAAGTCTTAATGCAGCAAATAAGATGATGAAATGTCAGATTAGGAATGCAAATAGAAAGATTCTGCAGCTATTGCTGGCAGGGTAATTATTGTAAGGTTAACAGTCTTAAGGAGCCATGCTTCCCTCAAGAAACACACGCTATCATGAATTTGTAAATTTTTAGTCCAATAAAAAAATTAGGCACTGGGGAAGAAAAGATTAAATGCAATGTCCATTCTTGAGCAGCAGACCCTCTGCTTTTCCATCTGCCTGGAGGAAGAGGGACATTAGCAAGGCCCTGGGCTGTCGCCATGCATCCAAGAGACAGTGATAAGAAGGCAGCAGATCAGAGGCAGGATGCTTAGAGAGAGCAAGCAGCCTCTGTCAGCAGCATGCCTCTGGGACAGGCTGGCTAGGAATGAATGATAACAGCATGAGGTAAATGGTAAAAATCTCTTTTTTAAGAGTTCAGAAAAGCAGCAGTCTGAGGGGAACCGTATTCCCATAGCTGGAGTACACAAACATGGGCATGCTGGGGAGGGTTTATTAAATCTAAAGAGTCAAAAGATCATACTTGTAGGCTTGAAACTGTTGAAAAGTTTATTGGGCTTGAGTGATCATACCCACCACTCCCCATACTGAGGGAAGCGAGGTGGCTGTGGTTGCACTCAGATATGGGAATTATGATGAGACCACTGAATTGCCCATGAAAGTAATAACTTGAGTATCATGAGGTATGTATTTACATACCAAATTATTTCCAGTCCAACAGTAAATTCCTGACAGCTGGAAGAAAATAGTGTCCAAGAGGACAAGTCACCAGATGGCTGGTTCTGCACCAGTGCAACAGCTGTCATCACAAACAGCACTGGCCTTAGCCACAAAGTCGGAGAAGAAGCCTTGATAAGAGGCCAGCCAGGAAATAACCATGGGCGCAGATGTTGCTGCTATAGTAGGCAGGGGAAGAGAATGAGAATTCAGAGCTTGGCATCTGGGCTGTAACACTGCCAAGGATGCTGGTGAATGACTATAAGGACTGGCTCTGTTGCTGAAGCGGGGTAAGAAGGAGCATAAACAACCACAAAATCAAAATTCCTTGGAAGAATAGGTAGAGGTTTAATTCTTGTCTGAGATTCCTGTTTATGTTTAGAGTAGCTAAAGTTACTACCTGGGAAGCAACTTTTGAAACTGCCATAGAGCAGATTTGTCTGGGTAGTTCTCTAGCCTCCAGTAAGGCTTGAGCTTAGTGGGCCTATGGTTTTTGCCCCATGTTCTGTGCATTCCTATAAGCACTCCTATGGGAAGGTTTGTCACTTGAAGGAGTGGTGAAAATGCAGAAGGAGGAACACAGTGGAATAATTTAGCAAAGCTTGCTTGAGGGGCAGTTTTGCAGCTCAGGTGTGACAGCCACCTGATTCCCTCCTTGGTGGATGAGTTAGGGAATAAATGGCAGCAGCCCTCCTGTCAGGCCCTTGTGTTACTTCTTGTAATACGTGCTCCACCATCTCTTTTAAATACAGAGATTTAGAGCTGTATTTATAGAGCACTCTAAAGTATATACACAGCTGTAAAAGTGCTGAGAAGACTTTTCCTGCCCCAGAGAGATTAAAAGCTCATTCTCACAGTTAGGCCATGTGGACTAAGAGCATAGGGCTGAATTGAGTAATTTCTTGTGGGGAACTGGCCCAGGATAGTTTCCTGGAATGAAATGAGCCTCCAGGAACAATGAGCAGGTGGCAGGAAAGTGTGGCTGCTCTCCTCTCCAGGGACTCACTAACGAAAGGTATGCATAGGAAATCAAGATTTGAGCATAGCTGCACAAGCCATTCACAGAGCCAACATATGTGCTTGAATGGCTACCCCAGGGCTATGCAGAGTGGAGATTATTATCTTCAGTACTCTGATATTATTGCCTGAGCCAGTTACATGGGAGTACTTCAGCACCAAACCATTCTTTATGAGACATGGACAGACCGTACAGTACTGGGAAGTCCATGGATTTGGGAAAGTGGGTGGGGAAGATGAAATACAGCTATGGAGATGAGGATGGGAGAAAAAGGCAAGCCTGGCAAGTGAGAAGAAACTACTAATTCACTGCAATGATAAATACTGAGCAATTCTGAAATATGGTTTTCAAAGTTTTGTCCTAAATTGGGCACAAGCATCCTACTCTCCTACAGTGACAGTGACACAGCAAGGCTTGGTGGCCCATGTGGTTGGATTTCAGCTGTTTAATAGACTCTGCAAGGTTTGATCTGTTTGGTGACAAACTGGGAGGATGCTGAGATAATCACTAGGCCATGCACGAGGCTGGTGAAGTATCCTCAGAGGTGATTGTTTTGTCTTGTCTATACACACACACACACACATTTCTGGAAGTGTCTGCCACTGCCTAGGACCAGGTGTGGAACAGGGGGGTTGATTTGACCTGGTGTGAGTTTTCATAATGAATATACTGAATAGAAACTTTCTCTCATATGCCCTCACCAGGGAACTGTGGTCCCTGACTGTTTTAGATATGGGCTGAGATGTTTACAGTTTTTATAGTTTTGGAAGTTCTTGTAACTTGACAAAAGGTTACTTCATGTTGAAGGACCAGCAGTGATTTTCATCTGCTGATAAAATGACCATTATTTTTTAAAATAATGTTCCAAGATTTTTTTTTTGTTATGTTACAATTCTATGATTACCAAATAGTGGGGCAAAGAGTAAGAATAGGAGATGATGAATTCCAGCACATTGCTGGAATGTGAAGAGAAATATTGACAAGATGGCTTGAAAGGAGAAATAATTTATTTCACTAGAAGTAAATATTGTCTGATCTTGAAAGGAGGTCAGACTTCTACAGTTCATCTGGTTTTTGTTAAACTGAAGAAAAAACTCAATTTATTGATTATTTGTACTATCATCAATCACATCGCTTATTGTGGTGACATTGCTGTTCTGTAGTGTCTGTCTGCTGTTTTCTTTAACTGCAACACTTTATTTTTTTCAAATGGAGTTAAAATTACACAAGAGAATCATGGTGTGTAGGGGGAGGCAAGATATTTTCTCAGGTGAATTATTTAAGTTGGAAAACCTGTCCAGTGGAAGATTCAGATGAGAATGCAAATATTTTGATCCCATATAAATAAATAAATTTTGATCCCATAAAATAAATGCAGAAGGCACACATAATTAACTGAGAACATCCACTGAGAGGGAAGTGAGGGCTTAAAAACCTCTAGAAATGCATAGGAAATCAAACATGAATGAGGCCTCTGCTATGGTAGGCACCAACAAGATAATCAAAATCTAAAGAATAAACAGGAAACATATCTAGAAAATGTTAAGGTGGTGTAGCAGTGCTATTAAAAAAAAACATATTAAGTGCACAACATTTTTTTGTGCTTTAATTCTCAAACAAGAAATATGGAAACAGTGATGGGGTTGACTGTGGAGAGCTGCACTGAAGATGGCAACCCTCCCACAGTGTGTATCTGACTTCAGTACTGCTGTGCAGACTGGACTCCTCCAGCTCTGCCACAAGGGGCAGCTCTGGACTACTTGCAAAACTTTATTACAAAAATGTACACTTCTAAGTCTATAATGCCTCCTGTACAGTGTGGATGGGATACCTCTTGAATGATTTCTTGACCCTTCGTCAACATAAATGATAGAAAGAGATTTGAAGAACAAGGTAATTATTTATAAACTTGTGCTATAAATGGTCTTGTGCTATCAATGGTCCTGTAATTTCTCTCACCCTCAAAACCGTACTTGCATGCATGTAGTAAGTGACTTAGCCTGGATTTTGGATTTTTTAGACAAACTGTCTAAACAGAGGTAAGGAACAAGAAGCATTGGAAGCTCTGAGAGTCTTATGTTAAGTTAGTGTCATTAACCAATGAATTTTGTAAGTAGGAGTCATCTTAATATTGTTCTCCTTTATCACTACTCTTCGAAAGTAGCAAGAGCCCCTTGAGAAAATCCAGCAAGTGAAAAAAGCAGTATACATGGGAAGTAACTCTGCTGACACCAGTGGAATGAAACAATAAATTGGTGTAAATATGAAGAGAATCAGAAGAACTAGAAGGCCAATTGCTATTGCTGAACTTATTTTACTCTAAGATTAAAAAGCCCCATAGTTTCTTTCTATAAGAAAGGCAAAGGTTTTGAGTTTGAGGTATTTGTACTGAAAGAAAGAACATTCAAATTTTGCAACTCTGATGACACCTGTTCAGATTTCCAGGACTGAGACAGCTCATCTGGGAAACATTCTCTGTGGTGTGTTGCAGTCAAGTTCTTTTTAAGTCTTACCCATACTTTACAAAGTCAACAGCATTCCTAGTTCCAAGCCTGTTGTCATTGTAGGTCTGTTGTAGGTCTGCATTTCTCCTACCTGTTTGTGAGGATAAACATTAATGTGGCACTTGATACATTCTTGTCCCATGTTAGCCCAGGAGTTTCCACTCATCCATTTTCTCTTGCATTTTGGGCACTTGTATTCACCAAAGCAGCGTTTCTTGCCCTGGTATGGTGTGAGGCCTTCTCCTTTTGGACGAGCCTACAAAACAAAGGGAAGTAGCAATGAATGACTGAAAATGGGTGGATGTGGGTGTGTGCAGTAGAAAAATAAAGATTTTTTTAATTAAGTAACTTTGGGCAGAAGATATTGGAGGCAAGCATGAAGGACATGTCCCTTTAATGAAGAGTTCATATGTTGAAGCTAGAGTTTTACAGTCGAGAGTGGTTTCTGTAAGAAGTATTCAAAGTTTCAAGAAAACATAATACTTGTTATGACACTGAATATACCCTTTAGAAATATACCCTTTCACTTTTTGAATAAATAGTTTTAATATTAGTTTCATTATGATAAAATCATCTCTATTGAGTATATATCACTAGCAATATATATATCATCAGGAGGAGTAGCTCATTACTAATAAAGGACTACTTTTTAACTAGAAATTCCAGTTTAGAAATCTATTTTCCACTAAAACACCTGTAGTTAAGAAGATTTTTAATAGTTCTGCTTTTCTCAGCCTATATGTTATCTGTTATATAGAAGTGCACAAACTGGGATTGAGTATGAAGGAAAGACTTTCTGACCAGTGGAAATAATAACTTTTATTAACTTTATCTGGTTTCTGCCTCTTGGTAAATGGTTTCACTATTTCTGCCTTTTGAAGGAAACAGGAAAGGATTCTCAAATGGTGTGTTGTAATGTCTGAATGTTAAATGTCCCTTAAAGAAAGCCTTTTTTATCTAGAGAAGCCAGTAGAGTTGACAATGACCGTACGCAAATATCAGGTTTATTTTTTGTATATGCATTCATTCACTAAAACTGTGTGTTGTGCTTAACAAAATATGGTGAGGTATGTGAAGATGAGTGTGTTGTATCCAGCTGTGCTAGGATAGCTGTAAAGATGAAGTTTTCCCAGAGTCCCTAGCAGGTGTTGAAACACTGTCCACGTCACCATGTTTAGTTTGTTGCTGCCTAGAGGGAGATACTTTGCCTGTATAGTGACAGTGTACTATGATCACCTATCAAAGGGTTCTTTGTCACTTACTTACATGTCAGGCCTAAGCAGCTTTTCTTTTTTAAGGCTTCCAGATAAAGTTTACAAAAGTGAAATGAGCCATCATGCTGGGAAGGCATTTGTTTTTGTTTTGGGAGTTTGTACGATTTCTCAGTGTGTAGGTCCAAGTTGCTTTCTATGTGAAAACACGGGTTGCAAAAGCAGGTGGTTGGCAGAAGACCTGAGCTTGGCAGGAGCTCTGAGACTCAGGCTGCAGTGGCTGATGGAGATGGTGAACACTCTGTTACCTCCTGGGTCGCATGTGGGAGCAAGAAGAGAAAGGAACATTGAGTGCGCTCTCCCCCGCATGCTGTGGGTGGAAGAGCAGGGGACACCAAACCCACTCCAGCCTTTTTTTTTTCTTTCTGTAGTGTCAGTAAACAAGATTCTCTGGGTTTTTTTATGCTCATTTCTCAGCATAGCAGTATTCTTTAGAAGATCAGATCAGTAGCAACCTCCATTACAAAAAGGCAAACATCTACAGTAATTTGCTTCTGACAAGCCACTGGAAATATTCTGGCTAACTACAAAGATAAAGCTGACCAGGACACACATATTTACAGTAGTATAGCACAGAAGAAAAAATAGTGCATTGATATAGTGAGAAACATTCAGACTTCCACAACTAAGTGAGTGCTGGCAGGCACTCAGAGTGTAGCTCTCTGACCCATGTTGTCCCTTGATAAGGATGAGAGATTGCAACTGAATGTAGTGCAGGAAAATGTCAGTTTAGGAGACATCCTTATTCTGGATACTTAATTTGGTTCTGCCTCTGAAGAGCTTGTAGCACAGCTCAGTGTAAGAAGAAGCCACATGAAGAATTCATAAGAATTTCTCTTCATTTAGAAATTCTTATGAAATCGAACAGAAACCCTGTGTCCAGAGAGCTCCTGTGTTTTAGAGACCTGCCCTCTCCTGCTGAGGCATCACAGATTGTTTTATTTGCAATTTCTAATGGGGGAGTGTTATGGAATGGAAGACAAATTATTTTTGATTCTCTGATTAAGTCACCCTCTATGTAAACTCCTCCTGCAGCCAGACTTGAAAATGCACCCTAGTGCCCTTACCAAGCAGCAGTCCTTTCAGAAAATGTGCAGTTCACAGAGTTCATTATTTCCAAAAGAAATAGCACTGACTTTGGAGACGGAGCGCAACTTGGAAGTCTTGTAAATGTTTACAAAGATTATTTGAACATAACACTCCCACAGCAATATGTTATGTCAGCCATAAAGAGCATTTAAACATCAGACTCCCACAGCAATATGTTGTGCCAGCCACAATTCCCAGTTGGGAAACTTTCAGAGACGGCCACTTGGGCGGGCCAGTGACTGTGGGTTTGTCCAGGTCACATACGTGACTTGAGAGACACCAATGCCCTGAAATGCTCTGCCCTCACACATGCACAGGGAGCACTGAAAATACAGGTCTGTGGAGTCTTCTGTGTGTACAGCTATGCATCAGAGATGGAGGCTTTCCAAATTAAAAGCTACTTTTAAAATCTGACTTCTCCAACCTTCTTGGTAAATCGGAAGCAGAACCAGGAAAAGAATGTAGGAGGCCTGACTCTGTTGGTTATTTCCTGTTATAATTGCTAGACTAAACTTTTGATTTATTTTTATTTTAACTTTTTGACTGTCACAGCTCCCTCCTCAGTCAGTGACTCTAATTAGTTTGTTGGCAAAGTTACAACATTCTCTGTAGGTGTTTTGCTATTCTGCTTTTATGGATGTTTATGAGTTGCCCTAATAGATATTATTTTCCTTCCCATATCTTCAGTTTTCCAAGCTGTGCCCCACAGGGAATTTGGACTTGCAAACAAGCAAGCTCATTTTCTCTAGTGGGAAACATCATTAGGAACCACTGACAGCAGTGAAGGCAACCCTCCAACTCCCTCCACCCTGCAGAACCAAACAAAACAGGTATTTGACAGTATTTGGTAGAAGGCGAAATCTGAGTGAGATACACTAATGGCCTGGGAGATCTGAGGCTGGGTATTCTGGTTTGTTTGTTGTTAGGGTTTTTGGTAGCTGTTGGGTTGGTGGTTTTTTTTGGTTTTTTTTGGTTTTTTTTTTTTTTTTAATTTAAAGTGTCTGGCTCCAGCAGGAGCACAGCTGAATTGCATAAACATTTCCAAGAAACAGCCTTGGCACAGAAGCAGCCAGCCCAGCCCACAGGGTGCTCAAGCACCCGGTCATTCTGCAACTGAGGTATCTCAGAGCTCATTCAGCTGGAGGGCAAGAACTATTTTCACCAGAGGTTTTTCCTTAGCTAAATGCCAAAAGAGAGCAAGAAGACCTATTTTGTCATTTAGTATTAACTTAAAAATCGTTACTTTATAGAATGTAGGATTTACCTTGTTTAAACCATTAGCCTCCTATTCTCTCTCCACCCCAGCTCCATTTGAATTGTGGTTAATAATAGGCTTTGGTTGGTGTTTAGGTCCTGCAATTCCTGTACTGAGCTTTCTCTTCTTACTCTTTCTGCAGATACAGATTTATTTATTTATGTGCAGAGTTAATCTGGCAAAGTTATGCTTCTGTTCATAATGGCACAATATTTTGTTGTTACCATATTAAAATACACTGTCCCATTGCCCATAGGCCCAGGTAAGTCTTTGGCCTGATTTCTATCCTTGGCTGCAAAAACTTGGTGTGTCTTCATTCGGATATTTCAAGGATTTACTGCATCCTAGACAGGTAGGCCTTTGGGGAGGATCAAAACCAAACAGATTTTGCTACCAGAGGACCAGAAACTAGCCATTGCTTGAAGTACGTCTCAATGTCAGCATCTAGGTATTAGGGAGTTTTGTGATCTTTTGACTTTGGACAAGCACTGACACAACTGCCATCACCTTTGCAGGTGTACCTAGTCAGTGTGTGTGTTTGCCTTGGCTGGAAACAACCAATGTACAAAGCCAGTGAATTTTGTGTGGCAAAGTAACAAAAATTACCTCAGTATTCCATCCCTCACTGACACCCAGCTGTCTCTATTTTTCATCTTTCTTTCTTGAGCCAAAACCACAAATTGGCCATCATAAGATTTTAAAAGTGTTTAAGTTGAGCTTTTGTGCTGGTAACTGGCCAGTCCAGCTCCCTGTCAACCTATCAGAGAGTACATCTCATGAGGAATCTGCCAAATCACTTGGCAATGACGTACATAATAAAGGACTCTCTGCTTTCCCTAAACAATTCCCTCAAAGTATCGGTTTGCAGAGTCAGCAAAAACAAAATGTTCCCCTCCCCCAACATGCCCTGCTTAAAACTAGATTCATTATAAACAACATGAGCCTGAGTTTCCTCATAGCAAAATGCAGAGACACAATTTAATGCTTTTCTTCCCCTCATCTCCCCCAAGTTTGTTGGGGCTGAAAGGGCTCTGTACAGCACAGGAAAAGATGAAATCAGCCTAACACTGGTAGGTGGATCCCCTTCATAGAAGAACTCTGAGAGTCTGCTTCTAAGCGTGCTTCATCAAATGAAGAGAAAAGGGTAACAGCAAACAACAGCTTGATGCACTGACTGGCTCCTGAGTGGTTTGTGGGAGTGGGAGGGTCAGAGCTGTACTTTGAAATGTGAATGCTCCAACATTCTCAACTGCAAGTCAGCACAATTGGGAGATGGCATTAAAAATGCCCTATTACTGTTACTGTGTACTTCTGTACATAGCTATCGTATCTTTTAATAAAGGTATGATAACACATCCCCAAAAGGTTCAATTAGAAAATGAAAAGTATAAGGACTGATTCAGTGTACTGGGTGTTGTGGCATTCCAGTCCTGAGGTTGCAGCAAGTTGCAGAGCATTGGGAAATTCACAGAAGTGCTCTCACCTGTCTCAGCTCTGTGCATACCGTGTAAAGAATGAGGACACACTTGCACACTTTTGCCAAAATGGCACATAAAAGGGAATCTTTGGATTGGTCAACATTTTTTCACCCTTGTCCTTCCTCACTTTTGTGCTCATCTAAATCTTGAGTGTCAACAGAAT